AGATGCCTGCTGTCCCCAAATCCTACAGATGTTACCTGTGAGGGATCTTAATTAAAAGTGTTTTCTTCTGTGTAGCTGTACTCCCTCATGTTCTTCTGTCTTGCACAAACTGATTGCTGGACTCCAAACAGTCTCTTCTGGGTAATGCGTGTTTCTGTTTCTCAGTTCAGAAAGAGAACAAACCCATAGCTCTCCTTCTGAAACTGTAGTATCTCAGGGCTCCCAGAGCTCTGCTGATATTGGCTTGCTCTAAGTGTGTATGCAAAGTGTTCCCAATTTAGTCCTGATTTTGCTGTGTCCCACTTGCATTGTTGGCACACCACTATTCCAGAGGAGGGGGAGAAGCACCCACCCCTGCTGTTTAATTTTCCCTGTGCCAAACAGGCTTATTTGAGGAGTTGGTTCCTTCTATCCAGATCAACTGCTAGAAATTACAACATAAGTATGTGAACGTGCATATAAAATTTTTGAAACAGATGTATTTACTTTGTCTCTAGCTTGTATCTTAAGTTTCCTATGAGGTGAATCCTTCTTAATGCTGTTTCTCTATTTTAAGAGAAGCACAAAATGACCATTACAGTGAGACCAGCAGTACGGATGGAAACTCCAGGGATTCAGATTTCTTTCAGCCACCATTGAAAAAGGTATAAAGTTAGCTGATGCAATTCTAATTGAGTGGAACTGGAAGCTCAAGAGATTGCTGCAGGTTCCTTACTTGTTTTATGATGCATCTAAAGTGATACTTATTTAGCTTTGCTTAGAAACACATAGGATAAGAACCTGAGTGCCTGTAAGAAGCTTTCTACCTCTGATATTAAACACAAATCAATTGCACCTTGAAGTCTTGCTCTGTTTATCTCTTCAGCAGTGCCCATCAAAAGTAAAGAAATTTCCAACATGCTTCCAATCAGACCCATGGATGTGGTTCTTCCCATTCAGTGCAGTTGTATTTTTTCCCCACATGCCTCCCCCCCTTTTTTTTTCCAATTTCCTGAAAAGATATAGAGAGAACATCCATCCAAAGGGGATATCAGTGTTCAAGCACAAATATTGACCTGTTGAGTGTATTGTTTGTAGGGGGGATGATTCAGCTGGCACATGGCAGCCTTCATCTGAAGGTCAGAAGCTGAAGTGAGTTTAAACTGGAAGCATAGTGACACCTGGGGCACAGAAATACAGGCCAACAGCCTGGTGTGGGCCAGCCCTAGCAGCTCACAGAGGGGAAGAGCACTGCAATTGCTACAGAACCAAAATGGATAAAGTTGACAGCCTAAACAGAAAATGCCAAAACCTGCCTATGTCATGAGGAAAGGTGGTAGAACACGTGGTGTTGAATGTTGAGGTAGTCAACAGCTCTGACTTTCCTGAAAGCTGCAGTTTTTAGCAGGGAGAAAACAACATACCAGGACTAGGATAAATGTGATGAAAAGAGGAGTGAGAGAGTAGCAGGCTTCAGTAGTAGTATCCTCATTGTACTCAGCCTGATATCACCATGCTCTTACCTCTCATCACTAATGCTCTAGCTCTACTGTCACCAGACAGCTTGAGTAATTGTCATGGCTTGAGTCCTACACTCCTGTACACCAGCCATTAAGTCATTACTAGTTCTGCTGATCTGGAGGTGGATGGACATAAATAGAGAGCACAAAGAATGGTCTATGTATAGCAGAACACTTTTTGGAAGTGGCAGGGGCTGCAGGCTTTGGCCAGAATCTGCAAATAAAGCAGTCCTGCCAAGACTCCCCAGTTGCACTGTAGACAATGTTGGGCACTGCTCCACAGGAGGGTAGATGTGACCCATTCCACACTTTCCTTCTCTTCAAGGTTTTAGTAACCCTTCTGCTCAAACTCGGTGAACTGGAAAAAAGCACTAGATGCATCAAATTGTCTTCTCATTAGTAATGTCTATCATTATTTGGCTTATTTTAGGTGAAACTGCAGGAGGCCATTGAATATGACGATTTAAAAAAGAATACTACCATTAAAACTGTTGCACTAAACTTAAAGAAGCCTGATAGGTAAGTTAACAGAATCCACACAGCTATCTCAGCATATTCAGCCTGGCAGGACTCATCACAGCCTGCACACAATCAGCCAGTGGAGTCTCTGCTGTGCCACACCCAAAGTGTTTAGAAACCTAGTACAATCTCCTGCATAAACCAGCTTTCATGTAGTTCCCATATAAATCTGTATTTTTACTTCAGTTGGCTTTTCAGCGTGTTAAGTCTCTGTAACCCTACTTGAATGGCTGTGACATGTAAATTCTGTGAAAGACTAACAGGCCTGTGCTCACAGTTCAGCTCTTTGTTGCAGTTCACAGTGTAAAGTGTCTGTTACATGTGAAAATACATAATTGCAAAGAAAACCCACTCCCAGGCAAACGGAAAGTGTAATCAGGATAGTTTGGACTGCTCACCCATCTAGTATTTTTCTAGTAACAGACTTCTTGTTTTCTAGACTTTAGAGTTTGAGAACCATAGATGTAACTTCAGGAAAGGAGTGATAACCACAGAGAAGAGAACAGTTCCAAGTGTGCACCCAACTCCCCTTAGCTTAGTCTCAGGTGTAAGTGGTGTGATGATACTCCCAGAGCTCGGTGGCACAAATTCATGAGCAAAATGATGCTCCCAGATTCAACAATAGAAGCTCTTCTCTTGTTTTGCTGCCATACCATCCCTAACCCAACTTCTTCCCACGTATCAATGTAGTTTTTACTTTGTCAGTAAGAGTTAGACAGGAGCATCAGCAGTTGCAGAGCATTTGAAGGAGGAAACATTTGAAGAACTGTCCACTGTTTGAGCCTGTGTTACCAGTGCTCCTGTTAATCCACTTTTCTCTTTCCTTTTCACACTTCACAGGTATTATCATGGTCCAACTCCAATTCAATCACAGCAATATGCAAGCAGTCAGGATATAATTAATTCTTTTAATAGTATTAGGCAAGAAATGGAAGCATATGTACCCAAACTAACTCAGGTATGGAAGAATACTCCAAAAACTTCAATTTTTCATTTTAGCATCTTGCTTTCTTTGTAATTTACTGTCTCATGTCTGCTGGAATTGTAATTTTTCAGAGTAACAAAACTATTGGAAATAATTTTAATTGTGCAACTTTAGGCAATACCTTTTGAGCTATCATGATTAATAAACAGTAGGTAACTGAGTCATAGCTGATACACAGAGCTATATTCTACTGTTACCATGTTCTTTTTAGGAAATAGTACAGCTATAAGGAAATAGTGTGACAGTCATGCAGCATGAGGCACAGGCCAAGGTTACAGATCCTACCACCTGACATGTAGCATGTAGTGGCCTTAGGAGGTCACAGTAAGCAGGTTTATAACTGAATGGGTCTTTGCTCTTACATGTGCTTGGGTAGGATGTAGATCATAGAATCACAGAGTTGTTTAGGTGGGAAAAGACCTTTAAGATCGAGTCCAGCCATGAACCCAGTTCTACCAAGTCACTGCTAAACCATGTCCCTGAGCACCACACGCATACAGCTTGGAAACACAGCCAGAGATGGTGATTCAGCCACTCCCTGGGCAGCTTCTTCTGGGCCTTGACAGCCTGGGGGAGGAAATTGTTCCTAATATCCAACCTAAACCTCCCCTGGCACAATTTGAGGCTGTTTTCTTCTTGTCCTATCATTTACTCCTTGGGAGAAGAGACCAACCCCCACCTGGCTCTAACCTCCTGTCAGGAGCTGTGGAGAGCCAGAAGGTCTCCCCTTCCAGGCTCAGCAACCCCAGCTCCCTCAGGTGCTCCTCACAAGACTTGTGCTCTAGAGCCTTCACCAGCTTACTTCTCTGGACCTGCTCCAGCACCTCAATGTCCTTCTTGTATTGAGGGGCCCAAAACTGGACCCAGCATTTGAGGTGTCACCTCACCAGTGCCAAGTACAGGGGCACAATCTCTTCCCTAGTCCTGCTGGCTACACTATTTCCAGTACTTCCCAGGATGCCATTGGCCTTCTTGGCCACCTGGGCACACTGCTGGCTCTTATTTAGACCTTGCTGTGGGCTGCACAGAAGCTCTGTCCTGGCAACTGGAGGGCAGCATAGCCACGTAGCCAGTCTCCCAAGCCAGTGTCTGGACTTCCTCTGTTAGTAAACCTAGATTTGGTCGTAAGAAAAGCAGCCCCACCTGTGAGTGTGCTACATTTCTGTACAGTAATCCTCTGTCTCATTTCAAAGTAGCTGTACAGTCAGCTCACATACTGGGTAAAGAGAAGGTTTGTCCATAATTAATTGGAGAGCTTTCACTGAAAGGCACTGTGTCTAATTCTGGAGAAGAGCAAACTCTTCATCAGAACTTACATTCTATCTGCTCAACTATCTGTGCTGTTACAGGTCAACTACAAATTAGTCTTAAAAGATTTTGTGGAAAAAGTGATCTGAGATATATTTGTTCCTCTCTCCTTTCAGGTTCTTTCAAGTAGTGATGCTGCTAGCACTATTGCAGTCCTGTCACCTGGAGGAGCACTCATGCAGGGTGGAACACAGCCAGCCATAACCCGTAAGGATTTAGGGTCTATAATGCCTTAATCCTATCTCACTGCATTCCACAGCAGCACCTGGCCTGCTGTTTCCTCTCCCTCTTAGACTGTGTTACAGTGATACAGGAAATCATGCAAACCTGTAGGCCAAGTAATCACTGGGGTACAGCAACAAAAGGGAACCAACAGCCCAGCCACACCGTGAGGGTGGTACTGGCCACCCCAGTGCTGAGGCAAGTGAATGAGAGGCAATTTTACAGAGTAGGTGAGGAAGGAAGCACACAATGCTAAATCCTCCTACAGGTAATAGGCTGTGCTTGCTCAGCATTTCTTTTCTGATTTTTTTTTTTTTTCCCTTGGACTTTAGAAAAGAAAGGCATACTTTGGGAAAGCTCTAAGGAGGTGAGGTCTAGATAATTATCTGGAACTAGGTTTTTTGCAACTTGCATTTAAGATCCACAGTCTGCTGTGAGAAAGAACAACTTTGTTGTAAACTTCAAGAGCAAAACAGACAACCCCTCCTTCTCACACCTCCACTCAACCACCCCTTTCCCTGTTGCCACATTCCTGCCAGTTTGAGTTTTGTTCCCTTTGGTCTCACAGCACATGAATCCCTATCTCACAAGACAGGGGTTTTAACAGTTGTCTAGTTTAACTTGTGTTTCTGCTGCTCTTCAGACCAAGTAACTAATTCAGACAGCTGGAAAAGCAAGTGTGAGTTCATTATGGCACTGAAAGAAGGGTGGTGAGGCTTTCTTACCCATCCCAGTTAACATACTGGGTGCTCCACTACACTTCTTTAAAAAAAATAGAAAAAGTGTTGGTCAGGTTCAAACAACCTCATCACAGAGTTCACTGTTCCCTGTTTGGTTCACTGTGCTCCTGTCACCCTCAGTGACTGCTTGTGCTTTTATGGCTGCAGTACCTTCCCTGCTCCTGATCCCTGTCACCTTTTCTTCTTTAAGATCATCTGGGATACAGTTCCTTGTTCCTGCCTGGATTTTTCATCTTCCACATGTGACTATTATCAGTGCCAACGTAAAAGAGGGGGAAAAGCTTGCAGAATGCACCACACAGTATTTAGCACTGTGCTGTGAGGAGAACCAGCTCCCAGAAGCAGTACTGCCACCCTGTTAGAACCACACCAATATACTGCTCCTAATCTTGGACTAAGTTTGATGTCCATTCTTTGCTCATCATAGATCTACCTACATAACAACAAGCTTCCAAGTAAAGAGCCATAAAGAGCAGCTGACCTGATCTAGTAATGCTGCTCATAGTCCTGGTCAGTTGTGAGGCACCTCAGTGTTCCCTCCCAGCCACCTTTTCTGTGATTCCAGTAGAAATGAGTATTGCTGAACTCCTTTGTTAGCCTTGCATCCTCCTTTTTCATGTGGTAGTTTTGAGTGATGTGATGATCTTTTTTTCCTGTTGCAGAGATGGTGCCAAATGACATTCAGTGTGAACTAAAACACTTGTATGTGGCAGTAGGGGAACTGCTGCGACACTTCTGGTCCTGCTTTCCTGTTAACACGCCATTCCTAGAGGAAAAGGTACAGCAGAGCTTCCTAATGTGTGGTCCTCATTGTGGTTTAGAATGACTGTCATTAACTTGAAATATAGAACAGAAAATATAGAATCATTCTGTTTGGAAGAGACCTGCAAGATCATCAAAAGTCCAGCCGTTACCCCAGCACTTCCAGGTCACCACCAAACTGTGTCCCTCAGCACCACACCTCCATGGCTTCGGAACCCCTCCAGGGATGGGGACTCCACCACTGCCCTGGGCCTGGCCTTGCCAACCCCTGTGGGGAAGATATTTTCCCTAAAATTTAATCTAAGCTTCCCCTGGCACAACATGGGGGCATTTCCTCTTGTCCTGTCACTTGCTACATGGGAGAACATGCTTTAAGATTGCTACATGCTTTAAACCAGTCATCCCTAGGACTGAAGGTCACAAAGCTATGTAAAACATTTGCTTTTTTCATCAGTTCTGATGGTGCTATTGGTGACAGTCACCCTTCTCCCAGGATGCCTGTTAACCCACGTCAGAAGCAGCTGCTGTAAGCTAGTTTTAAGCAGAATGGGCAGCTGTATTCCAGCTGCAGATTTCTCATTGCCAGTGTAAAGCACACAAACTGAAGCCCCCGTTCTCCACATCTAAGACATAGTCTCCCCAGTGATAGGTGCAGCAGTTTTCCTTACTCGTGTATCCATTGCAAAAATCATGCAGTCATAGCTTCAAAACAGGCACCACACTGTAGAACAGAGTTGCCTCCAAGAAGAGATATGACCTGGGTGTAGACACAACTATTTTTTTGTTGCTGTTCTTTCTTGTGACCTCACATGGAACAAAGATAAAAATCTGCGTTCAGATATGCTGGATTTTCTGCTGCAAAATGTAGCCTGAAAAATCCATGGTAGAGTCTCTGCTTGAAGCCAAAACAGATGTGTTTGTGAATATCTTGTCTATACTATTTACTAAGCAATAACCATCACAGTGGCACACTGCATTTGGAGTCACATTGCACCTGCCTCTAAAATAAATATGTGCTCAAGAGTTGTTATACTGATATTTTGATAACTTCTTTCTCAAACTACACATGCTAGGAGACCCAGAACGAGTTACAAGGCTTTTCCTTGGAGAACAATTTTTTAAAGGAAATTAAACTTCTGTGCAAGTGATTATAACACTGGTTTCTGTTTCTCTCTCAGGTTGTGAGAATGAGGAGCAACTTGGAAAGATTTCAGGTTACGAAGCTCTGCCCATTCCAAGAAAAGATTCAGAAACAGTATTTAAGCACAAATGTAAGGGGGAAATACTCTTTAATTACATGGGTGCATATTAATAGCTTGAATCATAATTACTAGAGGGTGGTAGCTTTGTTACTTCTTATCCTAGGGCACTAAGGTTTTTGTTAACCAGGAAATAGGGAAATTGGAATTGAGTACCCAGTTAAACACATCTTCTCTCCCTGTACCACTTGTTGAGTAATACCAGAAATGGATAATTTCAAATTATGGCTCTTGACAAGTGAGACAACAGAAAGGGGAAGTCACCTTTCATTTTTCACATCCACCACAAAGCAGAACTTTAGCAACCTTGAAACTGTCTCCCACCACATCAGGCTTGAAGTGGTCACAGACTGAGTACTGGAACACAGAGCACAAGTGTCACTTCCCTGTGACCTCTGTGACTGCTCCCTCTACAGATACTTTGCAGTGGAGCCTCAGGGTCCTCTCCCTTTACCTGGCATTCCTCTTTGAGATTACTCTCAGTGAATAAAAGGAAGAATCCAACTGAGTGGCTGATGAAGGGGAGGGGCAGGGATCTGTTTTTCAGTAGCTGGGACACTGTTTTTTCCCTCTTAATGTTTCAGTTGGTAAGTCATATAGAAGAGATGCTGCAGGCAGCCTACAGTAAGTTCCACACGTGGCAGTCCCGGCGCATGCTGAAGAAGACGTGAGCGCGCGTGCCCTGCGGTCTGAGCCAGTCTGCAGGAGGGAGAGGAGGACACCTAGCACACGTGCAGAGCTTAGAGTGGCTGCAGGGAGGCCTGCGAGCTGTGGACTTCTGGAAATGATGCTAACTGAACTTGCACATTTTTGAATAAGAACTGAGATTAAACTTGAAAACTAGGGAGAAAAACAAGGAAGAACCAAAACAGAAGAGCTGAGGCGCAAAAATATTTAAAAGACACTGTTTACTGCAGTTACTCAGGAACTGCTTTTGATTTGCATAAAGAGCTGCTTTCAGAAATAAAAATCTTAAGAGGGTGTATTAATAAAATCCAGTTTTCTGTCTAAACATTTTTTTTTTCTAAGAAGTGTATGGCACAGGGTAGAACTCAAAAGTTTTTCTTCACTGGATTCGGACATTTTCTTGAATTCTGTTTGTACTCCCTGCAACAGTTTGACAATGATATTTTAAAATAACAGCTGAGACTGTTTTTGCATCAAACATCTGGAAGAGTGCGTAGCTGTTGGAAGACAAGCTTCTGCCCTATGTTTCCCCAACAATTGGAAGCAAGAGACATTGCACTGAAAGCTGATGATGGTGTGGGGTCCCTAAAGGCACACAGGGGCAAACTTTTGCCTGAAGTCTTGTGGCTTTTTTATGCAGAATTTTTTCAGCCATCAATTTTGCATGTTTTTCTTTGAGTGCAAGTGTGTGCTACTGCAATTTTTTTTTTTTTTTTTTTTTACAGTGGCATTTGTTCTGAGGAGAGAATGCATTTTTAATAATGAAGTTAAATAAAAGTTTCTTATAAAAGTCATTTATTTTCAATTCTTAGACATTTTTCATTTCTTCTCCTAAATCTGTTTTCCTTCACTCTTCCCTTTTGACTGTTACACTATTTTTGGCGAATTGATAATCATTGCAAAGAGAAAAATGTGTTATTTACACAGTGTCCATAGGCATTTGGAATCTGTGCCATACTTAATTCCAAATAGGATCAGTTCAGAGTTTCAGACCAACTTGTATTAAATGTGACTCAGATGCAAAGTAGACCTGTTTTCTATCATATATGCAGTTTAATGACATTCTTGTCTTTTATTGTCATCTTGACTGTACTAAAGCCCAGTATGGGCTACTGAATTTTTTTACTGCTGAGTGTGACTGTTAGAGCATAAGATGCATTTACTACAGAGACAAATCAGAGCAACCCTACGGGTTTGCAGCAGGCACAGCAGTGTTCAGTACAGCAGAACGGATTCCCCTTGGCCTGCATGAAGGTTTAAGACTAGATTTTGGCACCACTGGTATCATGCTAAAGCATAGTATGACATTGGGTGGATAATTCTTGCAAATTCCTACAGAAGGAAGAAAAATGTATTTGTATAGCCAAGCCTGTGCTCGTTCTGTGCTGCTGCTCCATTTATGCAAGAGGGTTTTCTTTCTTTAACTGACGTGTGGAAGTCAGCAGCTTCTTTTTACCCAGTGTTTTTCTGCTAACGTTTTGGTAAAAGCTGAGTTTTGGTTACATGTCGCTGTCTGCACCAAAAGTTTGTTTGGAAATGTATGCATATTGTTAAGCCTAGTTCCCCTGTCTGCTGCTGCAGATAGATGCATGATACCTGCTCTGTGATGTTCATGTGGTTCTGCTACCAGAGATGACTGGGCTCGACAGGAGAGACGCCCCTTGCTTTTACAGGTTGAAAACATCACTAGGAACAAACAGATGTACGTACAGCATAGGTGCACCTATCTTGTGAGGAGTTACCTCTTGTGATAAACAAACTGTTTCTCTAAAATTTAGGCTTAGGGTATGGCTTTTTGAAGCCAAATCCTCTTGAAAGTGCAGGCAGCTCCCAGAAAGAAAGTGTGGTTTTGTTCTCTCCCACTCCAGAGCATTCGATCTAGCAATTGTGGCCAAATTTCAACTGCTCAGTGAAAGCTGTAACACCTTTCATCATATCAGAGGGCTAGGTTCAAGAAAATACATCCAGTTTATAGTCTAACTGCTCCTGAAGCTATGAACAATGCATTTAAGTATTAGACTGCACTGAGACTTCATTTTAAAAAAAAAAATCATGGACAGGAGAGTTTTGAATATGGAACTAATCCACCTTTGATTTGAATCAGTATTCAGTGTTTCTGGAAAGACTGGGCAAAAATGGTTAGCATGGTGGAAAAGTTTCAGTGCATCACAAGAGCATTTTACAGTTCAAAGGACTGTTGTTTATAATCATTATGGGGGATGGTGTTGCAATAGCTTTAAGTTATTATAGTGATATCAGGCTATCAAAATGTACCTTAATTAACAGAACTGGGGGGAAAGAGGACTATGATACTAAATTCAACAGTTTTGCCTAGGGACTGTATAGGCAAGGCTGCTATGCACTTCATATTGCTTTTTCAGGTATTGTGGCAATAAGGCACAGGCCCCTCCTGAAGTAAGGGAGGTAAACTAAATATTCTTTCTTCTACATTGTGTTCCCCTTTTCTGTAGCATGGTCCAAAGCCCCGATTCATTCCTTAAGTTTTAAAACTGAATCATCATGCATTATATTACTATTGGAATCTTTATACTGACTTGTATTTTTAATGAGAATTCATAAAACTTGTATCATTGGCATTGATCTAAGATTTGTAGAATAAACCCTATTGAATTCTAAAGTCAAGTCTTTTCTAATGCTTAGGCTGTGTTTTCTGATGTTCTATTAAATCCCCAAAAGGCTCCGTTTAGGTCTAAACTGAGCTGTGTGTACCACTAGCTCAGCTGTCCCTTCATGCTGTTGGAAGGGGTCAGGAACAGAAGGGTTACAATACAATGACTGTCAAAATATTTCATTTTTAGGGGTTGAGAGCTTTTTCTGCCACACAAGTAACCTACACCATTGCTAGTGCTCCTGTCCCTCTGTTCCTGATCATCCAAAAGCCAGTTTCAGTCTCCAGGGATTAGTACTCTCCTTGTTCCCTGCACAAATCCAGCAGCTGTTGTTTCAGGGGAGCTGCACAGGCTGCTCTCTCGGCCATTCAAACCCAAGCTTTGCTGGTAATGGAGAAAGAATAACTTAAAACAGGTATTAACACAAGTCTGGCTCTGCTTCTCTGTAGCCTGTGAATTCCAGCAGATTAAAATACTTCAGTGTACCACAAAAATGTCTAGGCTGTTTCTCTCAAGAGCTCTACCCCTGTTGAGGACAGGAAGCAACATCTTCCCCCTGGAGCCATTCCTACAAGCAGTTTCTTGCAGACTCAGAGTAGCTCTCTGGATGTGATCTGCAGCTTCCTAATGGGACAAAGCACTGACCAAGGCCCTGTGCTTTCCCTGGTGGGCAGCTTTCACCACCACCCCTTTAAGATGCTTTTTCTTTTGCAGCTGCAACTGTTTTCCCTTATTTAGACTAACTAACTACATCGTTACAACTTCCAAAATGGGGCATTGCTATAACTGTTTTCCCTTATTTAGACTAACTACATCGTTACAGCTTCCATAATGGGGCATTGCTACTAGCTGAAAAGCTTCCTTCATCCTTGCCAACTCCTATCAAACAGCTGCTCTATCCAGAAAGTCACTTGTGTAAGCAAAGGAGATGATGAACAGAAAACTTAGGGTCCAATTTTCCATCGTCTGTCCTGTTTCCCTTTCTTGAGGGCCTCCCCAAGCACCCCTGCTATCTGCAGGCTTTGGAGCCTTTGGATTGCAGCACAGTTTCAGTGTGAGTCACGATATTCTGAACCTGTTTCTAAGCTCTCCCTTCCCTTGCAGCAGGAGCTGGAGCTGGATCCAAACAGAACACAGCAACTTCCATTTGAATAGTGATCAGACATCACTGGTGATGTAACACTGATCCTCCGTAGACCCTGGTAACTAACAGCAGATGCACTCCTGCAGTGGAGTTTAGAGCCTGGGGAACTGCTGTGCTACCTAACCCAATCTCCCACATCTTTTTCAGGACACTGCATTTCCCCTCAGCTACCTCTGAACACATCATCTCCCCCAAAGATAGCCAAGTCCTTCTTTAACACCAGAGCAAAAGAATTCACCACTCTCCTTGCTAACATCCTTGATAACATATCAGGGCTATTTTGAGCTGTCTGCCAAGGAAGAGACAAGACCCAGAAGTGCAAGATGCAGCCAGAGCAGTTGATCAGGCTGCAGGAGGTTTGGTGAGAGAACAGTGCCTGCCTGAGGGCACTGACCAGAGCCCCAGCCCCTCTGTTCGCCCAGCCCTTGCTTCCCACCAGACCAGGCAGTGCCAGCTCACCTCTGCTCTGCCCTCCAGGCATCTTCAGGGTCACAGCTGAGTGGCAGAGGGCCACAACAGTGGCCTGGAGGGCAGCCAAGGCTGGGGCTCTTTGCTAGCATCCTCCCAGCCAACTCGCCCTCAGCTGCTGTTTCCCACACAATGACAGTCCCCGTCCCCTCCAAACCCTGACAGCTCTCTCATCTTCCTCCCCTCACAAAAGTCCACACACCCTTCATCCTGGTAAAGCCAAACTACTCCAGTAGTTCGGGTGTCAGCATATGCCCAAGGAAAAAATGGTCTGGACTTACACCCTGTGTTCCCTGTGTGCCAAGATGCCCTTGATTGAGGTCCCTTTGTCACCCACAGCCCTCACAAACCACAAATTAAATCAAGCTCTGAAAGGCAGCTCCCCCCAAAACACCAGGTCAACCTGGACACGGTTTTGTTCTCTAGAGCATCAGCACCTGCACAGCCCCACTCCCTTCCCTTCCAACCCAAGTTCATTCACAGGCACGACGTGACAAACCATCACTTTATTAGAATTACTTTACCCAGCAGAAGCACCCTCAAGCACTGCTGACACCCCCCACTTCCACACACCACCCTCCTTGGGCATGCCCCTGCCCTTCACACTGCCCATCACCTCTTTGGCACCGTGCTGCCTGCACCACAGCTGGACACCAAACCCAACCCCCCGCAGCCTGGGAATCCCAGGTCCCTTCTGCACAGCCTCCCTGGGACTCGTCTGCCAACACAACCTACATGACCCACCCCTGGGCACTGCATCCCCTAACCCACCAGGGAAGGTGGCTCTTGACAACACCTACATCCTCACTTTTCTACTCTACAACTTCCAGTCCACATCACCTCAACAGGACCCTGGCTGCAAATTGCAGAGAAAAGAGGGAAAGATTTCAGCATACTCAAGCTTAAGTGTCTGTTAAAAAGACAAGAGCCAAACACTTTGGGCATTGTCCAGAGGTGACCAGACTTGCTGGGGCAGGAGCTGCCTCTTTCCAGATGCTGCACAAGGAGGGCTGGCCTCAGGTGGGACTTTCAGCCTGTCGCATGAATCACAGCAGCATGTTCACT